CGTGCCTGCGGAATAACAGTATTTATTGGCAGTACCGACTTATGTGAAGAGACATTTTCAAAGATGAAATACGTAAAATCCTATTACAGAATTAGCATTAATAGACGAACATTTGTAATTTTGATGAAATGGACCTCAACCTGGCAAATGTTATCCCTCCCGAACCCTTCTCAGCAGACCTGTATTACAAACATTGTAGCCAATTATTATTATATTTTTAATTTCATCAATAAAATATGTGTGGAAATTTGTTTTCTTTCTTGTTATGTAAGTACCTGCATAATATCCTCAATTTGGCGTCTTGACCCTGTAAGTCTAAAATATTTACTATCTGGTCCTTCACAGAAAAAGTTTTCTGACCCTGCTCTAGAGTTTACTTGGGGGGGTGGGGACCGGTTAGTGAGGTCATGCTAAGCACTGTTCTAGAAGCAGTGGGGAACCGGATCAAGGGTAAAACATCAGCCTCTTCACCACCACTGCCTCTGAACGTACTTTGTTTTTCTGTTAGGTGTCTCTAATACTTTGTTCCCTTTGTTCCGATCCCCTCATACGCCTTCCTAGAAAAGAGTGAAACACCCAAACTGATGAATCTGTTAAGTGAGACGACTTGGGATAGGATCTGAAGTTTAGCTGGAAATTGTGCTTGTAGCAGTTTAGCACGATTTAAAACCTCCTGAAGAGTGGTAGAGCTTCCTGAATTCAGTATTACTCTCTTCTGTGCCATCACTGTTGGTTTAGGGGGCAAGTGATTAGGTTTCAAGTAGCCTGGCCTTGGCTGTTTTTTTAGAATATCAGAAAATAAAGACCCAATAAATGTTGAAAGCATTATTTGATTTTTAAAAAAGCCTAGATGGCTGTATTTTATTTTTAAAGTTTTTAGAGAAAAGTATTAATACTTCTGAGGAACATATTAACGCTACAGTACAGTATGCTGTCTGTATAAACATGCGCGAAGAAAATTTACCAAAAGGTGATTTTGCCCTTTAAGGGGGTGTGTTACTTTGATGATAATCTTTTACATTGATCAAGAAGCCATCAATACGATAATTAATGTGCTGTCCTACAAGGAGTGGTGGCTCTGACGGACGGCCGTGTGGGGCAGCGGGAAGGGAAAGCTCGGCCCGTGGCAGTGTGCCCTGCGCTGCGGGCCCTTCTGCTGGCTGGCGCGCCACCGCTGACAGGCCTGCCGTCCGCGGGGCCTGGGCACTGGCTGGGCTCCTCCTGGCCGCAGCAGGCCGCCGAGGCCTCAACCTGATGCCAGCCTAAGGTCGCTGTCTGCTCCCCTCCAGTGCTGGGTGTCCGCCTGGGAGATGGGCGGGCGGGGGGAGAACTCGGTCCCTTGGCCCTGCGTCCGCCCCAGATCTTGGACGAGGGAGGTGCGGCGGGTGAGTGCCCCTTCGGCTAGCCCCAGGGCTGGTTTCCTGAGCTGGCTGGATCAGGCAGGAGCCTCAGCCTCTAGCGTGTTCGCTCCTGTGCTTTCAGACCTTGGAAATGGGGAGGTGGACGGGGGCTTAACGGAGACAGCTGTGTGCATGCACTGAAAATTTGTGTCATTTCAATCCATGAAAATACAAGAGTGGTTTCTAAGTGGGTTTCTCCTCGCTGCGTGGACACTGCGCGGCCCGTTATCACAGGTTGGGGGGGAGGGGAGAACGGGAGATGCTGGCCCAGTGTTTTGGCTGCTCAGTGGTGGGCGGCGAGTCTCATGAAGGACGGTTCGAAGTTTCTTCATTTCTCTCACCTCGCCATGGTTGGTTGAAAGTGGGCTCTGCCGAGTGCCGAGGGTCGGGTTTCCGGTTCTGTGACTCTTTGCGGGACTAGGGCCTGGCTTCAGCTGTCGGGGTTCTGCCCTGGTGCACCATCAGGACACTGCTGGGATTGTTTTGTGGGCTTGGCCCTTTCTGAGACACTGTTATTTCTTGTTATAGTTGCCTTTGTCACTGTACTGGGTTCTTCGTGCTTGGCATCAAGGACTTTATAATCTAGTAGTAGAGAAAAATAGACATTATTAATATGCACTCAGGATGAGAGCTATAAGAAAAGTGCTGCAAAAACGTAGAGGTGACCACCTTTAGCCGATGACCGGGCAGGAGGGGAGGAGGCCAAGGGAGGCCTCGAGGTGGTAGCATCAGAAGATTCGTTAGCATGCGGTTCAGCCTTGAAAGATTTCTGCGCAGAGGAAGGGCGTGTGAGCACAGGCAGGGAGAAAAGTCAGAGCTCCGCGTGCAGGGGCGCCAGTGTAACAGCCCGGGCGGAGAGGAATCCAGCGAAGGAGGCTGGAGAGGCGCACTGGGCCAGACGTGCAGGGCCTGGAGTGCCAGGCTCAATGGCGGTGCTTCTCGGTGGCAGTGCGGGGAGCTGACGGCCTTAATGAAGTGAGGGTTGAATTTGGGCTCTGGAGCAGTGGGTGCTGTATGGGGCAAACGAGACGGATGGAGGAGAGGCTGGAAGCAAGGCCAGTGCATTAACAGGAACCAGGTCCCTGACCTGTGGCGGTGGGAGTGGAAATGAAGGGACCTAAAGCGATGTCATTTTTTGCCTGCGTGTCTGTCCTCTGTGGCACGCCTGCCAGCGGGGGCCCTTGTGGAGCCCTGGCATCCTGCATGTGGCGCTGTGGGCGCGGCTGCCCAAGGAAGCGGGCTGGCCAGGACCCCTCTTTCTCCAACAGGACAGTGCACCCAGAGCCAGGGCGACCGCGTCTCGAGGGCTTCCCCGGGGGCTGTCGCCTCCCTGGCTGTGCGCTGATGCACCGGCAGCGAGCGGACGGCACCACTCTGTAGCACGTGGAAGTGCAGGGTGCCAGCTAGATTGGGATTTCTGGGAAACATGAATAATATTTGAGTGTGTCCCAGCAAACCTTGCTCACTGATGTTTACCACTGTCCAGTGTGTCATCCGACAGCCCCAGAGCCCACTCCTTCCCTGCTCCTGGCCCTGGCTCAGCTTCCTCCTCTCCAGTTCCCACCTGCTGCCTCTTGAGTGAGCCTCCCCGTGGGTCCAAGGTCAGGTAGAGCGTGTGCTGCCCGGGGAGTCAGCCTAGTGGAGGGGATGGCCTCTCAAGTCGGTGCCAGGACGTGGACAGCATGAGGGGCAGCCTCCTGCCTAAGCAGACAGGGCGGCAGGCAGAAAGACCTTGTGTCCCAGTGCCAGAGGGGCCTCCGGATCCCTGCCGGTCTCAGACTGCCCCGGGTCCCGCGATGGCATCCCTGCAGTCCCGCCCCGCCTGTGCCCCCCTCAGCCTCACTCCCCTCTCCGGTTCCTCTCCTACCCTCTTCCCGTCCCACATGGGCACTCGGGGCTTGTGGGCCCAGACGTTCTCTGTTTCTAAGCTTATACTGTGCCTGGTGCCTAAAACGCCCTTCCCCCATTCTCCACCCACTAGTGCTTCCCCTCCCCTTTCCCCGCTGCAGCCTCGGCTGGCCGGCCGGGGATGAGGGTCCTGCCGCTGGGTTCCCCGAGAACTCGGAGCACCTCCCTCATGACTTTTCCCTTGCTCAGTATTGACTCCATCTGTTACTGCTGTTGCTCCCTTCGAAATGGGGCCTTCTAAGGACTAGGGCCTGCGTTTTCAGGGTCCTCATTGCCCACCACCCTGCCTGTACCTAGTAGGTGCTAAAGATGTGCTGAGTGCACAGCAGGGCTCTATTTGGAAACTTCACAGCCCTTTACAACCCTATTTGTGGTCCCCAAGGAGCACCCAGCTCCTGCCCTGTCCCATCCCTGCACACCTGAGCACTTCTCCACACTTTAGGGCTGGGAGGATTTGCCAGCACTTACTAGCATTAGAGAAAACTGACCTGGACAGTCTCAACCCTGCACCTGCCTGTCCCTGCACCTTCTGTGTGCCCAGGCTAGGGAGGCCCGGACGGTCCTGGCATGCGCCGAGCGTGTGGGCTGGACCCTCTGGCCTTTGTCTCACGTCCTCTAGCCTAGACCGTTGTTTCAGGTCAGTTCGTTGCTCCTTCCACACTCTCTCCTGCACTTTCTAGAAGCGTCCTCCGCCTTGCTGGCATCGAATGCTCTCTATGCAGCTGTTTGCTGCCCGCATTGTCAGGGTGAGAGGGAGCAAACAGAGAGCGGTGCAGCTTGCGCATTCCCCTGGGGGCGGGGGCAAATCCCAGAACCCCCCACCTGGATTCACAGAGGGCACCACGGCGGGCAGACGGTGCGTCCTGCAAGGGGATAAGTGGCTCTGGGGCGCCCCAGCGGGCATGCCTGGGAGGGGAGCTCGGGGGCGTTGTGGCAGGCACGTGCAGAGCAAAGGGGAGGGACAGAGGCTAAGAGGAGGCCAAAAGGACAGGTAGCGCCCCCAGGTCCCCTGGTCAGTCAGGTGCAATGGCCCCGGCTGCTGCGGGCGCTCGTTTGAGAGACGGCTGGGGACAGGCGAGGCCGAGAGGGAGGTGTTCTTTAGATGCTTCTAATGTGAACTCTTCCCAAACAGCTCCCTGGGTCATGCTAGGAAATGTCTCTGGGAGGGCATAGTTAGACAGCACAGTAATTATGTGAGTCAGGAGTCCAGAGGGATACCTTGTGACCTGGGCTTTTAGCTCAAAAGCAGCAGCCTCCCTGGCCCTCAGCCTGGAGCTCAGCTCTGCTCCCAAGACAGGGGAGGCCTCCAGAATCGGCAGCAGACCCGAGCAGCAGAGGACCCCCAGGAAGTTTGAGGGAGACTCCCCAAGCTCTTGCTTGCAGCCCTTTGCCAGGAGACCTCGGGGCAGGCTCCAAGGACAGGCCATGATTGAACCCTCCGCTAGTCACGTGGAAGACAGCTGACCGCTGAGAGCCCCATGGCCTGTGGCTCCTGCCCTTCAGGCTGGCTGAGGACAGGGCCTCGGGAGAGACCCACATGCTGAGGTCCAGCCTTTGCTCTGGGCCTCTTCCAGGGTCCCGTGAAACCAACACCCAGGACAAAGCGCGTGGGGGAACTTGGTGGCTAGCTTCTTGCAGGGAGCAGGGGTCTCAAGATCTGCCCCGCCCGTGACCGCCGGGCTCTCCCTGCAGGTACCTGAAGGAGTTCCGCACGGAACAGTGTCCGCTTTTTGTGCAGCACAAATGCACTCAGCACCGGCCCTACACCTGCTTCCACTGGCACTTCGTGAACCAGCGCCGCCGCCGGTCCATCCGCCGTCGGGACGGCACGTTCAACTACAGCCCTGACGTCTACTGCACCAAGTACGACGAGGCCACAGGCCTCTGCCCGGAGGGCGACGAGTGAGTGCCCCAGCCTGCCCTCGGAGGAGCCCCACGTCTCCTGGGTTGCAGGCCCTCAGAACGGGCCGGGCACGGTCGGAGCAGCCAGCTGAGGCTGCTGCGGGGCCGTGTCGCGGCCTGGCCCTGGGCCCAGACCCCACAGCCTCGGGGGCCGGCCCCCTCTCCTCTTCCCACCGGTGGGGAACCCTGCACCGGCTTTTCTTCTGACAAGCCTAAGGACCGCATCCCTGAACCAAAGTGGCTCCCTGGGCCTTCTGTCATGGTCCGCTGCAGGTCACTGGGACCCTCTCCACAGCCTGCTACCACCCACCCCATCCCGTGCAGGTCCCGCCAGAGACACAGAGCCTCTCCAGTTCCCCATTTTGCTGTCCCTAAAGGTTTTATCACCGTGCTCTATTTAGAAAAACAGGAGACAATACAAATGACAAGGAAGTGGCAAGCTAGGGAACCTCGCTGAGAGGGGACATTCATTGACCCTGCTTGTCGTGTTTCAGCCTTGCAGAGGTGGCTCCTGTGGGTACAGCTCACTGACCCATCCCTGCACCAGCATGCCTCTCGCAGAGGTCACCGACCCCTCCCCCAACCCAGTGACGCACTCAGGGCACGAGGCCTTCGCTCCTCTGGGAGCCCTGGTCTGGGCAGCGTGTCTTCTTGCAGGATCACCCCCATGCCCCCTACCCCCTGCCCCAGAGCTTCTCTTCAGGCCTGGGGGCGGGGTGTGCTGGGCGGGCTGAAGTGGGACTGCCAGGCCCTGCTGGGTCCCCTTCAGGCTGCGGCAGGAACCAGCAGGGGGGCGGCTCCTCACCGCCTGCCGCCTCGACCGACCCCCATCAGCGCGCCAACCAATCGCAGGGAAGGGGTGGGGGCTGGTAGCCCAGGCTGCAGGGGGCACAGGTAAGTGACCCCCAACTTCCGTCTTTCAGGTGCCCATTCCTGCACAGGACCACAGGGGACACGGAACGCAGGTACCACCTGCGCTACTACAAAACTGGAATCTGCATCCACGAGACAGACTCAAAAGGCAACTGCACCAAAAACGGCCTGCACTGCGCTTTTGCCCACGGGCCCCATGACCTCCGCTCCCCTGTCTACGACATCAGGTGGGCTGGATGCCACGCTGGGCCGATGGCTGTGGGCGGGGGTGGGGCCTGGCTGCCGACACTGCGAGCACCACACGCGGAGCGCAGGGCCAGTGCTCTGGTTCCCTCCGCCTCATGCCCCTTCCCCGCCCTCTCTGTCTCCTCTCTGCCCAGGGAGCTGCAGGCCATGGAGGCCCTGCAGAACGGCCAGCCCTCGGTGGAGGGCGGCGCAGAGGGACCGTCTGCGGGGGCCGCCAGCCATGCTATGATAGAAAAGATCCTCAGTGAAGAGCCGCGGTGGCAAGGTGAAGGTGGCCACGCAGGTGGCCAGGCCCCTCCCCCCAGGCGCCTGTGCTCACCCCTCTCCTGCCCAGAGCGGTCCCAAGGACTTGGCTCCCCACCGCCTCTGCCGGGGGGCGCTTCCTCCCTCCCACCTTGTGTCCAGCCGACCACGGTCCGGCAGTCGGGGGCCCTTCTAGGGGGGCTTCCCCAGACACACCTTGCCCTGCTCCCGTCATCCCAGGTGCACCCCCGTTTCTCAGGGGGCTTTCTCTCTCTCTCTCTCTCTCTCTCTCACACATACACACACACACCCTCCCCGCATATAGAGAAGTACACGTGCGCGTGTTCTTGAACCTCCTGAGGGTGCCCTTTCGCCCTGTGAGCTGTATGTCCAGTGAAGGACAGCATCCACCTCCCCCTTCTGGGCCGCCTCAGCCTTGACTTTGGCCTGTGGAAGGGCGGCCCTGCTCACACCTCACAGAAGCCTCCACTCCCGGCCCCCTCCAGCAGCTCCCCCTTCCCCACCCTGACCTGCCTTGGGCCCCATGCAGAGACCGCACACGTGCTGGGGAACTATAAGACGGAGCCGTGCAAGAAGCCTCCGCGGCTGTGCCGCCAGGGCTATGCCTGCCCCTACTACCACAACAGCAAGGACCGGCGGCGGAGCCCCCGGAAACACAAGTACAGGTCAGCCGCAGGGGGCGGGGCGGGGGGGCCCGCGGGGCTGCTCCCATTGTGCCGGCAGGGAGGTTAGGGTCCCAGGCATGGGGGAATATCCGAATGGCAGCGCTCTGGGGGCCCCGTCCGGATCCTCCTCTCCTGGCGTGAGGGCAGGGACCTGGCCGTCTCTGAGGCCCCTCCAGTTCTGATGCAGAGGAGCACCTGCAAGGGCTGCGCCGTGGCGTAGCTGGTGCACTGGCGGCCACAACCCGGTCGTCCTGGGCCGCACGGCGCTCGGCGGGAGGGTCTGGCTGAGGGAGCGAAGCTGGGCCAGCGCCGCAGGGCTGGCTCCTGGCCCTGTGGGGCAGGGGTCTCGTTCCGTTGCCGCCCCCAGATCCTGATCCCCTCTGGCATCCATGTGACCCCACCCTCTCGTTGGACCAGGTCGTCACCCTGTCCAAACGTGAAGCACGGGGATGAGTGGGGGGACCCCGGCAAGTGTGAGAACGGAGACGCCTGCCAGTACTGCCACACCCGCACGGAGCAGCAGTTCCACCCGGAGGTGGGCGGGGAGCCGGGCTGGGCCAGTGCGGGTGGGCGGCTTCACGGAGCCTTTCTGCGAAGCAAGGCAGAGCCCCCGGACTCCGTCCTGGAGGGTGGGCTTGGAGCCGCGGGCTCCCCGGCCGGCAGTGCCTGAAGGAGCCCTGCCCTTAATCGGGTAGCTGCTCTTGTTCTGGGCCCACACTCACCAAGCGGCCCCCACTTCCCACCCGCCGCTCCGGCCTCCGACGGAGAGGGCCCAGACTGGGCCCAGCGCCCTGGCCACTCTGGGCTTTGCATCCCTCATGGTGCTTACAATCCAGCGGCCCCCACATGAAAAAATAAGGAAGCCCCAAGCAGTTGCCCCATTCCAGGCCAGTGCCTAGGGCCCCGGTGGCCTCCCAGTGTGGCCCTGAGCCATATCGGTGTCCCGAGATCTTGTGTCGGGTGCCTAGATCTTGTGTCAGGCACATGCTGTCCCTTCCCTGGTTGCATGGCGACCAGGACACCCTGAGGTAGACACATGGGCAGACTGCCCTACGTGGACTATGGACAGCAGGACAGAAAGTGAGACCCAGTGGGGGTCCCAACCCAGACCCCACCCAGGCTGCCTGTGATCCCGGCCCTCTCAACGCCCAGAGGCAGATTTGGAGGTCACAGCTCTGGCCGAGACCCTCAGTGTAAAGCAGCGCGGACAGGACCCTCTGAGGGCTGGGTCAGGGCTGGCGGGACCTCTGACCCCAGACGGCACGGGGCGGCTGTGTCTGCCCAGCAGATTGAGCAGGAAGTTGTCAGGGAGAAACTTGGGGAGGCGGCGCGGCACAGGGAGGAGAGAAGGGATGAGGAAGCTAGCGCACCCGTGCGGAGACACGTGCCTGCCTGTCCCTCTCTGCCCAAGCCTGAGCCACCCCGCTCTGCCCTGTGCCTCTAGATCTATAAATCCACCAAGTGCAACGACATGCAGCAGTCGGGCAGCTGTCCTCGAGGACCCTTCTGCGCCTTCGCCCACGTAGAACGTAAGCTGCTCCCGTTGACCTGAGGCAGTGTCCTCTCCCCCCCTCCCAGAGCCCACAAGGCAGGTCCCCGCAGCCACCCTGTGCCACGCGCGTGGCAGACCACTAACTGAATGTGGCGCTCGGCCCTGCTGAGCCCCGCTGAGAGTAGAGCTATCCAATCAGAGTGATGCAACTTCCTACAACATTTTAGATATTCTAGTTCCCACATTAAAATAAGCAAAACAAATAGGTCAAATTAATTTTAATCCAATATAAAATGATATCATTTCAAAAGTAATCCATATAGAAAACCATCAAGACTATTTTACTACTTTTTTCAAACTGTTGTTGAAAGCTGGTGTTTGAATGGCTGCTGCGCGTTTCGGTCCAGAGCAACCATGTCTCAAGCACGTGTGTGTCCCGTCGTCCCCCTCCCGCGTGGCTCCACGCTGCACACGGCACTGCAGACGGCCACCGTCACAGGCGGGGCTCACGGCACCACCCACGTCCGCCCGAGGCCCCGCCCTGGCTGTCCTTCCCCTCTCCCGGCCTCCGCCCTTCTCTCGGGGGTCGGAGTGAAAACCCGCCGACGGCCCTGGGAGGGCAGCGTGCTCTTGGCACAGCCGGGGCCCAGCTGGGCACCGTGGCCGCCAGGGGAGGTGGCCGCAGAACTGATTCACGGTCAGGCTTTGGAGTCGTCCAGATCAGGGTTCAGCCCCAGCTCCTCTGTGCCCTACCGCTGTCACCTTGGGAGACTTATCTTGCCTCTCTGAGCCCCAGGTTCCTTGTCTGTAAAATGGAGCCCTTGGTGTTACTTATGTCTTCCAGTCATTGTGAAGAGTCACAATTAATACAACTTGCCTGGCACCTAGTAAGTGCTCAGTACACGATATTAATAGCTATAAGGTAGGAGTCTTCCCTTCACATGCAGGGGGATGCATGGTCCTTCGAAAGGGACCCGATGCCTTTCTGGCTCAGGCCTGCTGACGCCCCGCGCTGTCTCGTGCAGAGCCGCCCCTCGGTGACGACCTGCAGCCCTCCTCAGCCGTGTCCAGCCCCACGCAGCCGGGCCCCGTCCTGTTCATGCCGTCCGCCGCCGGAGACTCGGTGCCTGTGAGCCCCTCCAGCCCGCATGCGCCCGACCTCAGCGCCGTACGTGCCTGTCCAGGGGGCGGGTGGGCCCCACGCTTCCTCTCATGCCCCCCACCCCTCAGCCCGTGCTTGGGGACAGGCCTTAGGGTTCTTCCCTTTCTGCCCCAGGGTTCTTTTCTCTGTCAAAGCAGGTAGTGAGTGAGGTTAGTGTCCCCAGAGCCTGTGGTAGCCTGGGAGAGCCAGTAGACGGGACAAAGCCTTCTGTCACCCGCCCCCCGCACCCACACAGTGCCCTCATGAGGTCTGGGCCCCCTGGGTGGCAGTTGCTGCCCGTTGGCGGGTGGGACTGGAAGGCAGTCCCTGGCTGAAGCAGCTGCTCCTGAGCAGGGGCGGAGGGTGGGCTGCGCCTCTGCCTACATGTTGCCCACCGACCCACCCCTCCCTCCCCTGCAGCTCCTCTGTAGAAACAGCAGCCTAGGCAGCCCCTCCAACCTCTGTGGCTCCCCGCCGGGCTCCCTGAGGAAGCCCCCGAACCTGGAGGGCATTGTCTTCCCCGGGGAGCCCGGCCTCGCTCCCAGCAGCTATAAGAAGGCCCCTGGCTTCGAGAGGGAAGACCAGGTGGGAGTCGAGTTCCTGAAAAATTTCAAATGCCAGGTAAGGGATGAGAAGAGCAGCCCAGTGGGCAGCCCGGGAGGGCCGTCCTGCTGTGGGCAGCGAGGCCGAGAGCTGGGAAGCCCTGGCCTCAGCCGCTGCAAGACATAGCAGGGGGAGCGAGGCTTCCCGCGCTGCAGGCGGAAGCCAGCAGGCTGGAGCGGCGGGGACTCCTGTCCTGGTCTCCTGGTCCCATGCCCGGTCCTTTCCGTGCTGGTGCCGCCTCGATGGGGGAGGGCTGTGGGAGCAAGACAGAGGCTGTCCCTGCTCCTCTGAAGACCTACCCTGGGGACCCCGGGAGCCGTTCCTTTCCCCCCGCCACTCCTGGGCTCCTCTGAGGCTTGGAGTGGTGGCGGGGAGAGGAGCAGCCCCCGGGGTCCCCAGAGTAGGGAGAGCAGTGGGGGGTGGAGGGCGAGTGGGGTGCATGCACGCGGAGGGGGCCAGCGGGTGTCCGGCCCCGGTACCTGCAGCCTCAGGGGGCCGTGGTGGGCTGTGGGGCCTCCTGCGCCGGGCCCCTCCTGGGCCCCGCACTCATCTCCTACTCTCTGGCCTCCCTCTCCCAGGCCAAGTTAAAACCCCACTCACTGGAACCCAGGAGTCAGGAGCAGCCTCTGCTTCAGCCCAAACAGGTACCGAGTTCTGGGCCCCCTTGTGGCACCTGCCAAGGACAGACCGGGCCCGGGACCCCAGGGGGCTGCAGAGAGAGGGGCATGCTTCCCCACAAGCTGAGGTCAAGACTAGGGGGCGCCTAGTCCTAGTCCAGAGAGGGTGGGCCAGGCCCTGGAACCCCTGCCTCCAGGATCACCCGTCAGTCAGTCACAGGCCATGCGCGGAGCATCCGCGTGGCACAGGCACTGGGCGCACTTCTCCCGCTCCCATGCAGCAGCCTCCAAGCCACGCCCCTCCAACTTCAGCCTCTCGGCGAGGTGTTGAGCGGGCGGGGCCTACAGGGCCATGGGAGCGCCCCCCAAGGACTGGGATGCCCGTCTCCACTGTCCCCCTGGCCGCAGCCTCCTGGGCAGGCAGCCCACCGCCTCTCCTCGCTCTCTCATTGCAGGACATGCTGGGCATGCACCCCACGGGCAGCCCCCTGACCTCAAGCATCTCTTCTAGTATCACCTCCAGCCTGGCAGCTACCCCCCCGAGCCCTGCGGGCACCAGCAGCGTCCCTGGCATGAATGCAAATGCCCTGCCCTTCTACCCCACCAGCGACACGGTAGAGTCGGTCATAGGTAATTTGGCCATTTCATTGCCAAGTCCAGGACTGGGTCTGGCGTCAGAGACACTAAGTCTCTGGAGTGAGACTCAGACCAGCACACTGGTTACTTTAGACATCCGACTGGAGGCTCTCTGGGCCTTTGAGCAAAAGGGGAACCGAACCCGAGGTGTGGGGCCGAGACTGGCCCTCAGTGCAAATTAGAGGTGCCCCTTCCCTGGGCACGTGCAGTCTCATTCCACGACACGCCCCTTCCGTTCCCACACGTTCTCAGCTGGCCTTCCTTGAGCAGTAGACAACCTGCACAGCTGACCTCAGCTGTCCTGGTCATTGGAAGCTGCTGCTCTTCTCTCAGCAGCCACTTTGTGCCAGGTCCTAGTATAGACGGGGCGTACAGGCATGAGGACCCTCTGTCCTCGACTCGGAGGAGGGACGCTGCTCCCACCCCGGCCCAGTCCGGCAGGGGGCGGCGCGTGCTTGTTGAGCTCCTGCTGCACGTGGCCAAAAACCTGGAGAAGAGCCTCCCCGCAGCGGGCTCGGGGCAGGGGGAGACGGGACCTCTGTCAGAGGCAGGAACCCAGGCGGGGCCTCGATCCCCCCGGGCGTATCCAAGCAAGCTTCAGGAAGCAGAGCCACCCGAGCTGGACTTGGCAGAGCATTGGGTTGGTGTGACAGAGGGACAGCCCAGTCACAGGCAGAGTCTGCGTGGGAGAGGACCGGTCCAGTGAGTCCTGCGCAGGAAGATGAGGCGGGGGCAGGAGATGAGGTAGAGAAGGACAGGCTGGCCCCGGAGGTGAGGCCTGGAGCTTCAGGGTGCGCGGTGCCCGGAGGCTGGGGGCTCAGGCCCTGATGGCTCTGTCCCTAGAGTCTGCCCTGGACGACCTGGACCTGAACGAGTTTGGGGTCGCCGCCCTGGAGAAGACTTTTGATAACAGCACCGTTCCCCACCCGGGCAGCATCACAATCGGTACGGGCTGCGGGTGCGCACGGCAGTGCAGACGGCTCCCAGGGGCCCACCTGGCCTGGGGTGGCGGGGGCGGGTGGAGCGGCCCGCCCGGCGGGGCCCCCGTGGCTCCCCTGCCCTCACTCGGCAGGGCCGCCCGGCCTCTCTTGCAGGCGGCAGTTTGCTGCAGAGCTCTGCCCCCGTGAACATCCCTGGCTCCTTGGGCAGCTCGGCCTCCTTCCACTCGGCGTCCCCGTCGCCTCCTGTTAGCCTCTCCTCACATTTCCTGCAGCAGCCCCAGGGCCACCTGAGCCAGGCAGAGAACACGTTTTTGGGGACCTCAGCATCACATGGATCTTTGGGTAAGAATGGGTGTGGCTCACTGAGTGAGACCTGGGACAGGGACCTGGGCTTTTGGAAAGGGCCTTGGGCCTCTGTCCGTGGCCAGAGCCGAGCAGAGCAGAGGTTAGAGCAGGGGCTCTGGCGCTGGAGGGGAGTCAGGTCCCTCCCTGACCCATGGCCCCCTTAGCTGTGTGATCTCGGGGAGGGTCTTAGCCTCTTGGCCTTAGCGTCTTCTGCTGTAAGATGGGTGTCATGGCAGCGCCCACCCCGCGGTGGTTGTGAGGCTCAAATGGAGTGCGCAGCACAGGGCCAGTGTGCAGCGAGGAGTGGCGGCTCAGAGCCACGGGGGCCTGGCTCTGCTCTTTGTGCCAGGGTGACAGTCCCACCCAGGTCCCCGAAGGCCCTGCAGGCGGGTTCACAGGAGGCCAAGGGGGAGGTCTGGACGGCTCAGCCCAAGCTTGGGGTGGCCCTCCTGCAGGCAAAAGGCCAGGGGGAGCCAGCTGCAGCCCCGGGCGCTGTTGGATGAACTGGGGCTTCTGGAGGGCAGGTCGAGGCCTGGTGGCCAGAGGCATGGCGTGCAGGCCCGTAGGCTCCACGTGCGGGGTCCTCGCCTCCCTGCGTGCAGGTGCTGGCTGGAATGTCCACCGAGGCAGCCGCAAAGACAGGGAACCGGCACAGCGCCCGGCCTGCTGCCTCTCGAAGGGCCGCAGCGGCTCCTCTTACCTCCCCGCCCCTGCTGCTCTCCAGGGAGCTCGGAAACCCTCCCCGGAGGGTGCGGGGCGTCTGGTCACACTGAGCCGCCCAGCCGCCCTTTGACTCTCACCAAGTTTGGGACCTTCCCCAGTCTCACTCCAGAGATCGGGGCAGCACAGTCATGTCTCAGCTCTTTCCAGGTTTGTTTTTCAATTACAGCTGATACTCAGTATTATTTGTATTGGTATCAGGTGTACAGCATAGTGGTTGCACCATCGTATCCTTTACAGTGATGCCCTGGCATTTCCAGTGCCCGCCTGGCACTGCACAGTTAGGACAGTAGTATTGAGTGTATCCCCTGTGCTGTGCTTCCCATCCCCGAGCTGCTTTTAGTTTAGAAGGTGTCTGTTCTGTTTTGTGTTGACACTGTCAGCTTCAAATTCTTTGTCTTGTATTTGTCTGATTTGTCCCATATGCTGGGGACCAGTAGGTCTGCTTACTGGTCACACATCCACTCCTTCCCCTCCGTGGTTACTGAGCAGTTCTGTAGGTAGTGTGAGCTCAACAGTCCCCACTGGCGTGGCGCCCTGGTCTCTGGGGGAGGCAGGAGGACATGGGCTCATCCTTGGAGCCGCTGTGTGGAGTCAAGAGGGCTGGGGTTCAGAATGACAGAGGGGACCTTGCCCAGATGTGGTCCGGGGGGCCGTCTCTGAGGGGTGGCTCCTCTCCAAGAGATCAAATGCCACCTGAGTGTGGAGAGGCACGCAGACAGAGCTTGCTGCTGGGACAGTGTGTCGGTGAGACGACCCCGGGTCCCCGCCTCCGGGACAGGGCAGACAGGCTCAGAGACAGCGCACACCACAGGATCCCCACCTGGGGCACCGTCTGTCATGCTGTGGGTGCGCCGGTGTTTCTTGGTGGCGCTGTCTCAGATCCATTTGGATCCAGAATATCCTGGCTGGATTAGTGGGAAAGGAAGTAAGAAGGGTGTCCCTAGAATGCACTGGTGGCCGAACGAGGCCACAGGCGGCTGCGCCCCGCTCCATCCTGCTCCGGAGGCCGGGACTGCACGGGCCGCAGATCGGGGCTCACACGGTGCCAGCGAATGGCGGGCAGGCGGGCGCGTGAGAGCACAGGCGGAGTGTGAGCCTGCGCACAGCGAGCTGGAGAGAGGTGGCCGTGGCGGTCAGGCGGCCTGACCATGTCCCAGGTCTACTTACTGTCATCACTGGGGGCGGCCTCAGCCCCCTGGACCTCTGCCTGCTCCGGCTCTGCCGTCATCCCAGGCTCTGACCCGTCTTTCTACCAAATCTCCTCCCAGGCCTTGCCCCAGAGCACAAGGAGGCCCCCCTCCCCCCAGCCTCAGGTCCCCACAAATCACCGCCTTCACAGGGGGCTCCCAGATCACCCCGTTTGGCAGATGAGGATGAGACTCAGAATTTAAGTGGTAGCTGACAAGTAGCAGGTGGCACCACAGTAGGTCTGACTCAACTGCAGCCCCTGTACGTCCCTGCCAGGTGCTCCGGCCTGACGGTGCCCGGGCCTCACGCAGCAGCCCCCGGAAGCCTGGGCAGGGCTGGGCAGGGCCCTCCAGAGCGCTGACGTTCCTCCCCTTCCTGGGGCAGGTCTGAATGGGATGAACAGCAGCATCTGGGAGCACTTTGCCTCTGGAAGCTTCTCCCCAGGCACGTCCCCTGCCTTCCTGTCAGGGCCGGGGGCTGCGGAGCTGGCCCGGCTTCAGCAAGAGCTAGATGAAGCCAACAGCACCATCAAGCAGTGGGAGGAGTCCTGGAAGCAGGCCAAGCAGGTACGGGCCCCACGCCCACCATCCCAGGGCCCCGCGGCATCCCACTCATGCGCCTCTTGCCCTGGGCCTTGGGGGCAGGGGGAGGCCAGGGGCCCTGGAGGACAGAGCAGAAGCTCTGCTTTGCCCTCCTCCCCTGTCAGGACCTTGGGGTGGCAGGTGACCCATACCTGGTGCGCTCTGCGAGCCATTTGTGGTCTGGCCGCAGGCGCCCCGGCCACTCCCAAGGAGCCCTGAGTCTCCAGGGCTCGAGTCCAGGGCTCTTGGCTCTTGAAGGGGCCCTCCGGCTGGGCCCAGCCCCCTTCCCTGCCCGCAGAGGGGTCCTTGCAGGTCCTGAAACCTCTCTTCTCTGTGGACAGCGTCAGCTTCCTCCCCTCCCCGTCCCCAGACAGCTGAACCCACTCCCAGCAGGCTCCACAGCGGCTCATGCAGCCCCTGAGATGCGCTCTGGGGTGGGGGTAGGGGGCGGCGCAGGGTGCCATTGCGACATGGTGCTGTATGTTTGGCCCACAGGCTTGCGATGCCTGGAAGAAGGAGGCAGAGGAGGCCGGCGAGCGGGCCAGCACAGCGGGCGCCGAGTGCGAGCTGGCCCGCGAGCAGCGGGACGCACTGGAGGTGCAGGTGAAGAAGCTGCAGGAGGAGCTGGAGCGGCTGCACTCAGGACCCGACCCGCAGGCCCTGCCCGCCTTCTCCGACCTGGAGGCCCTGTCGCTGTCCACCCTCTACTCCCTCCAAAAGCAGCTGCGGGCCCGCCTGGAGCAGGTGGACAAGGTCAGCCCTAGAGGCTCGGGGCATGCTGGGCAGGGGTGTGCGTGGCCACAGCTCGCGTTTAGGGTCCAGTGGGTCCACACCGCTGCAGGGCTGGCCACCCTTCTCCTGAGAGCCGCTGCCCAGCAGCAGAGGGGGAGGCGAGAAGGGGCAGGGGCCGGGCCCACCCCAGCGCTCTACAGGCAGGTGTGACCCGAGCCACATTAGCATTCCTGGGCCCTAAGTCACATTCCCAGCGGCTTCTCCTCTGAGCTCCGCACACACCAGCAGACACTGCAGACTGGCTGGGTCCCCAGGGCTACTCTGTCTGCACTTCTGGGTGCCCTCCTGGGCCCCCAGGAGCCTCACACAGTGGAAAGAGCGTTCTCCCCTTCATCAGGCCTTGGTGCGGAAGCCCCCGCTGTGGCCCCTGGCCCCTGGCCCGCCGCTGCCCTCTCCAGGCCCCTGGGGTCCCTACATGATCAGTGCGAGGAGAAGCCCTCAGGCTGCAGTGCCCCGGCCTGAATCTCTCCCTGCTCCCCGTCTCTCGCTCGGCCTGTGAGCAGCACCCGGAGCCTCGGCGCCTCGCCCAGGGGGCTGCGGGGGGAGCTGAAGGGCCTTGTGCGGCCCAGGGCCGGGCCGCGGAGAGAGGCCCGTGACCTCAGCGTCCCGCTCCCCACAGGCCGTGTTCCACATGCAGTCGGTGAAATGCCTTAAGTGTCAGGAGCAGAACCGAGCGGTGCTGCCGTGCCAACACGCCGTGCTGTGCGAGCTCTGCGCCGAGGTCAGCGAGTGCCCCGCCTGCCAGCCGGGCCGGGCCCCTGCACTGCAGTCGTGACCCCGCGGGCCCGGCCCGGCCCGGCCCAGCGCTCCCCACCTAGGACTTTTTAAAGTATATATATGTATGTATGTATGTATGTATGTATGTATGTATGTATATGTATATGACTATGTATATGTATACATTCTGTGTGTGTGCAGGTGTGCGTGGGCGGCCAGTGTGAACAGTGTCTGTGTGTATATCTGTACATAGATATAGACACACACTTTAAAACAGACTTACCAAGCACTTTTTAAAAGAAGCGACTATTTTGCAGTCCTCCCTCAGCCCACTCCCTCCCTTTCCCACCCTCCCCTCTTCTCCCACCAGCCTTTTGGCAGGGAATCTCTTTCTGTCTCTTTTTTATGTAGGAACTAACTATTTTTAACTTTTTCTCGGGGCCTGCCTGAGCAGGGAAGGATAGGAAGCCGGCCGGTGCCAAGGGGAGGGGACAAGCCTTCGGGGCAGGTCCTGTTCACCCACCACCCCAGGCTGGGTGAGAGCCAGGGGTCAGAGGCCCCAGGCAGACCTGGTTCCTGGCGGTGAGGCCTGAGGAGCTGTGCCGGGGCCCCAGGCCAGCCTAGCCCCTAGGTTTACCAGATGTGTATTTATTTTGGGGCTGGCAGGCCCAAGCAGCCCCCCTCCCGAGCTCCCACCCCTGGGCCCTTGAAGACCCTTGAGGGTCAAGGCCCGGGAGTCCTACCCCTCAGGTTCCTGAGGCAGGGGCCCTGCCTCAGTCCTCTCCCTGGTCTTGGGAGCAGCCTCCCTGGCCACAGGGCCACCTGCCAGGCTGGCACTGCCCTCTCCGTGACCCCCAGCTGCCCTCAGCTGTCCTTTCTCTTCTGGCACAGACCCCCACCCTCGCTCCCTGCTCCCCCCCTCTGGCAGCTAGCAGGGCAATTGGTAGGGAGGAGCTGTGGACTGTGAGGACCAGGGGGGCTCAGGCCCTGCCCTCCTCCCAGGAGGGGCTCCGTATGCATTCCTTGGTGCTCTCTGAGTGCAGCTGACGTCCTGCCCGTTCGGAGCGGACGCCCGTGTGCATGTGTGTGCGTGCCTGTCCGATGTATAGTGTGTCTTAGCTTCCATTTTAAAAATTGTTCTGTACAGAGAGATGCAGTGGGATGGGAGGGCGGGAGGGTGGAGGGAAGCCACCCCACTCCCAGCGCTGGGTGCCTGGGGTGGGAGCAAGAGGGCGGCAAAGGGTCTGGCCCCAGCCCCTCCCCACCTTGGGCTCAGCACGAAAGGGCTTTCAATGAATTACGTGAAAACTTTTTTTTTTTTTACAAAAAATGCAAAAATCAACAAAGCTCCAAACCTATTGGAAATAAAATATGAACTTGCATTGGTAGCTTTTTTGCACAGGATGAAGTGGGGTGGGGGTCCCAGGGTCAGGCCTCTCAACAGTGAGGTGGGCCAGCTCAGCCAGGCGCTCTGCCTCCGCCCAGGAAACAGACTGTGGGGCCCTACCCCCAATGCTAGGCAGCTGCAGAGGCCAAGGGCTCCCCAGGCTCCGGTACTGTCCGAGCCAGGCCCGCTGAGGCTGCTGTGGGGACCACGAGCCCTGGACAGCCCTCCCAGCTCCCCACTCTCCTCTGTGGGCTCGATCGACAGCTACTACGGGCTTGTTTGCTGTTTTCCAAAAGTCAGCAGGGCTGGTGCTTCTCAGAGGAGCAGACGGCGCCTCCTCATAAGCGCGCGAAGAGAAAGGCGAGCCCCAGAGGGGCTGGCCTGCCCCCGTCCCCTGACGGCGGAGGCCCTGGGCTTTCCTTTCAGCCACCACTTCTCCCCTGCTCTCAGCCGGCCTGTTTGGTGGGTGCAAGGGAACCCAGCTGTGCACCCCTCTCATGGGCCTCCGAGGCCCCAAGCTGCGAGGGACCGTGGGGATACCTCGCAGCACCCACATGTGGCGCTTGTGCAGGCTCAGAGGCACGGTGACTGACCCAGGGGCACACGGGTAGAACGACGCCTTGACCTCAGGCTGTAGCTGCCCGCACGCAGGCAGGGCCCGTCGCCCCCCGCCCCCAGCTCATGGTGCTGCCCCAGGAGTTCCGGGCCCGTGCAGCGCAGCAACCACAGGAATGGATGTGCCTGGTAGCGTTTTGTTCAAAGCGCTTGGCCCAGCAACTGCCCGGCACCTGCTTGTGCATCGGTCACCCCCACGCCCCCTCCCTGCTCTGTACCATGGCAGAAGAGTGAGGGGTGGGCCCAGGGTGGGGGAGGGGCTTGCAGGACCTGACCTGAGCTGCACTGCAGGCCAACAGCGTCTCCTAAGAGGACAATGGATTATGATACTTTTATTGTGACTAAGAAAGTTTCTAGGTGGCAAGTACTGGCTCCAGATGCCCTCAGCAGGTAGGGTTCGCCCAGCTGTCCTTTCTGCGTCCGTCCTCCGTGCCAGCCCGTGCCTGCCAGCTCTCACCCAGCAGAGCCCGACAGTCCCCTTTCTGGGCTCCCTAGTCCGGGTGTTGGCGGCCCCTCAGGACCTGGGCTCCCTCCATTATGGCTCCCCCCCTCACCCCCCTCAGAGCAGCTGTAGCCTCATCTTTGTCAGAGTTCCCTCTCCTTCCCCGACACAACCCTGGCCCGACCCTGTAGCTGGAACAGGTGCGCCAGGGGACAGATGGCTGAGGTGCTCGGCTTTGCCAGAGCAGCTTTTCCCAGGGAGGAGCAGGGGCAGGAGCTGCGAGGGCTGCCTCCCCTCCCCTGGTGCTGGGATTTGGCAGGGAATGCTGAGGCCAGGCTGAAGGCAGGGAGGAGGGAGTATAAATATGCAAATAGTGTCCCCCTCTTCATAAATATGCAAATGGAGTTCCCACATCCAGGGCCCCAGCTCTGGAAGGAGACCAGAGGAGGTCTGCGCTCCGGGCCTTCAGAGTGCTGGGGGTCCCCCCCTTGCAGGGCCCTCACGAGCGTCAGGCCAGGCTGGAAGGCTGCACTGTGGTGGGGACAACCCAGACCTCCGGGAAAGCCTGCCCCCACCAGGGACCCCACTGCATCCCCACCGCCTCTGCTATTGCCCTAGCCGCGGGGCATGCTGGGAAGCCTGCTTGGCTCGCTGCCGCCGCAGCTTCACAAAGGCCTGGGCCTCGCGGTCACCCCTCCTGCTCTCCAGCAGCTGCAGGATCGTGTCCCCTGTGAAGAGAGGTGTTTGGGGGTCAGCTTCTGGGCAGAGGCAGGGTCTGGGTGGTGCAGCCAGCCTGGAAACCAGTGGGGGGCCCATGCCAGCCAAGCTCATGGGAGACGACCACCTGCCGGACCAGCCTGGAGCCACCCTTGCAGCCTCGGGCACCCGACTGCAGCGCAAGAGACTGAGATGTGCCTCACGTGGCAACCATTCCCTCTCAGTGTGAGAACCTTAGGCTAGCCAGTGAACCTCTGTGCCTCAGTTTACTCATCTGTAAAACAGCAGTAATAGTGTCTGCCTGCTTGGGTAGTTGGAAGGATTGAAGAAGTTAACGTACGTCAGGTGCGTAGAACTGGCCCATAAGTGGGCAAACGTGACCCATTCCCATCAGCGAGGTCAGCCCCTGTCCCCGGGGACATTCGGTGACCTCCCCCACCAGGAAAGCCACACTACACGTAACCTAGCTTAAATGACTCTGGTTCCCTGATGAGACCCAGAGACCTCAGCAGCACAAGCCACCATGCTGGCTCCGCTGGCTTCATCCTCTCAGGAGGGATCCCTCTGACCCCCAACCTTGCCTCACCAGGGGCCCCTGTCTGAGCTTTACAGGCTGGCCCTCCCCTGCGTCCCCAGCACCGGGGCTCAGGCCTACCGTTGGCTGTGGGGTAGGTGAGGGGCAGGCGGGTCTGAGGCACCTCCCCAGGCTCCTCTGTCCCATCCAGGCCACAGACCGAGCGCAGTGGCAGGAAGGCCTCCCCTTCCAGGTCATCGGCCCCCAGAGTGTCATGGTCCAGCACCGTGAGCAGGAGGCACGCCCCGTCCTTCTGGCACGGCTCGGCAGGCACCAGGCTGGGAGGGGACAGTTGGGCTCAGCTGCCCACCACACACACTGCCATGGCCCTCCACCCCCACACAGGGGTTCACCCCTGGTTCAAGAGGACAGGCCAGGGCAGGAGAAAGATGCCCAGATGGGCGGCTGGGGGCAGGGTGGGAAAGTACAGGCCACATGGTGTGACGCCTGCCCTAACTGAGGGCTGATGCTTTAAACCAGGAGGACTTGTGTCCCCAGGCCCACCTGTCTTGGGGAACAGAGAACTTCGGGTTCAGGACTCTTTCCTGCAAGCAACATGTGGGAGTCTTCTCCCAACAGTCTGACCACTCCCAGGGAGCAGGTTTGGAGCCTCTGTCAGCAACCCCTTGTCCCAGGTTCCCCTCCCTGGGACCCCACTGCGGTCATCGGGAAGCCCCGTTGGCCCCAGCGGGGAGGAGCAGGCCTGAGGCGTCCGGCCTGGGGAAGGATCGCAAGCGTAGGGACCCGCCCACTCACAATTCAAAGGTCTCATCAAACAACGGGTGAAGGTCCTTCTTGTGCTTTTGGGTCTCCCGGGGAGCCAGCTCAGGGAACTCGTGCCTGGGCTCCAAGGTCAGCTGGACAAAGGGGTCGCTGCAGCCTGGCAAGTGGCCCAGAGAGGGGACAATGGCCAAGGATATCCCAGCCCACCGACCAGCCCCGCTCCCTGCAGCTGTGCCCCGCTCAGCAGCACTGCCCCCTCCTGGCAACCCAGGGGAAATGCACCTGGCGCTCCTGCTGGGCCGGCTGAGCCACCAGGGACCGGGGAAGCAGGGCGGAGCAGCCCCTGGGCAGCCCGCACTCACCGTTGGAGTCCAGAGGTAGCAGGTTGGAAGCGCTGAGCAGCTCCACGCGTAGCTTCTGCTCGGAGGCTTGGTAGGAGGCCTTGAGCGTGACGGCCCCGAGCTCCTCGGAGGCGGTGTCGGCCTGGGGGCGGAGCGCAGGGTCAGCGTCAGCGCGGGCGGGGCTGGCGGGGCGGGGCGCGGCGGGGCCCGGTGCGGCGCGGCGCGGCGCGGCGCGGGGCCTCACCTGCTGCTCAAGGCGGGTGCAGAAGTACTTCTGGATGAGCTCCCGGGTGGAGGCTCCCTGCAGCTCTAAGTCCCTCTGCAGGGCCTGCGAACGGGGCCAGCCGAGAAGTCACCGGAATTGCCACACTTGGCCCCAGCCCGGCGCTGCCCCCAGGAGCTCACATCTGAGCGGGGAGACGCTGGCGTGGCCTGGAAAGCTCTGGGAGTCCTGGGGCCAGAGGCAGGCAGCCAGAGACGCAGACGGGGTGGACTTCACAGCACCCCCCACCCCCAAACACACACACAAACTCCACGCTGAGAGCCTTGCGCTTGGGTTATTGCTCGGCTGCCCCTGTCTTAACATTTGAAAGGACTTTTGACGGGGAGGCCCGCAGTGTCCTTTGGTGCTGGGTCCTGAACACAGGTGAGCGCAGGCAGGCAGGCCCGCTTCCCCCACCCCAGGCACAGCAGAGGGCCCCTACCTTGAAGGTGGCCGTGTGCAGGGCCTCGGGCGGCAGGCCACAGCCCTCTGCGTAGAAGCAGATCTCCAGGTTCTGGAAGATGAGCAGGCAGACATTGGTGCCAACCCCACACGCCCGCCCACCAGGGCTAGTACTGCTGTCACCGGTGCCGTTACCTGCAGTGCAATCTTCAGCCTTTTGCAGGCCAGGGAGCAGCTCCTCTGGGAGGTGGCCACCTCCACCAGCACAGTGAGCGTGTGGGTCCACAGCAGGGTCAAAAGGCTGAGGAGAGGTGCCAAGGGGCCGGGACACAGAACGGGAAAGTGGAAGAGGAGGAAGCAGAGGTGTTTTTGAGTGACAGCGGGCCTCCCGGACCCAGGTTCCTCCCCACCCCCACCCTCCCCTGGAGGCACAGCTTCACAGGTGAGCCTGGGGTCGGCCCCGCCTCCTGAGGGAAGGAGGACAGGGAGGGCGGAGAGGCCCGTCCTACCCAACACATCTCCCAACCTGGGGAACGAGCCTTCTCAGGATTATCAAACCCCCACAGAAAAGGTGTGGGGGAGGCTGGTCCCCCAATGACAGGGTCGTGAGTGAAGGCAGCAGTGGTCAACATGAACGGGATTTCAACACACTGCTCTCTGTTGGGAGAGAAAACACAGCAACCAAGCCGCA